AGCAAGACCGAGCTAGCTAAAATTGAGCCGGAGGGCGAAGAGGACTCACCTGATGAAGTCTGGGAACCAATGACCTCAAGGCCTGACTGAATCTCCATATTCCATGAGGTACTAGAGCAACGCTGTGCACACGCGGCCCACATTTTAGTACTCCTGGATTTCCAAGACGCATTCAATTCTTCACCGGTCCTTGAGACACCCAGCAAGGAATGCTCCGGAAGCTTGTGGAGCTTTTACTCTCGAAAAATATGCGCTGTTGTACAAAAGGTAGTTGTTGACAAGACTATTCACTCCCTCTATTGCTGGTCATTTTCGTAATCGACAAGATTTATGAGACCGTCACTACATCTTCAAAAACCCTGCTATTCAGGTAGCTGTTGACTTAAACCTTGTCAATCTGGAATGTGCATGCGACATCGCTTTCGTCTTCTAGGGCGCAAGCGTTTTCGGATGAACTGACAAAAGTCCTTTGACATGAGCCTTGCACCCACCCATCCATGATTCTGCACGCTGAGTCACTGAACACTAATTACGATCCAAGCTTTGCTTTGGGTTTGTACCCAACAGGACCTCAATCCGTTCACAGGATGATGGGCTGAACACTTTAGAGAGCAATTCAGCTGGATCGCATTCACTTGTCCTTTGGATGGACTAACTGGAACCGCATTGGTTTGGATTCCCTTTTGCCATTGTCGACGTGCAATTTCATTGCTTCAGTGCAGCAATGCCATTGAACATTGTGCTAAGACCATCGAGGCACCAACCTAGTAATTATAGCTTCAAAGATGTTCTCTGTCACTATCCGCCCTTGCCGGGGTTGCATCGATCATACATTCACCTTGCGGCAGGTACACAGTCCCCTGGTCCTCCAGGTTTCGGGTCGAACATGTGGCGGCTTGTTCCGCATTTGCACTTCCCGCCAAAAAGCCGCCGGTTTGCAGTCGGGCTTTTGTGCTAAAGTCTGGTTGAAGACCCTAATCGTCCTCCTGTCTAGGTGTTGGCACCCTGACAGTAGCCCAGCCCACGTACAACCTGTTGTGTACGACGACGGTTGGCATGCAGCGACAGTCAGAATAAGAAAAGACTGAGGACCCGAACGCTAAGCTTTATTCATCCAAAACTTTGACACCGAGAGCTGAAAACGGAAGAAAGTGATTTAACAGTAAGTGATGAAACGTTTGAAAAAACAGAGCGAATATACAACATTCACCCCTCGCAGAGATGAAAGTTCTCAAGAGTTCGCTTTATAATTGAATAACGTCAGACCTCTCTGTTGCGCAAGACATACGGTCGTGTCCGCTGTTGTACAACCAATGGGTGTTCAGAAGAATTCAACATTTCAGTTTCCGAAGCAGAGTCAGATAATTCCGGCTTAATAAATGAATCAGCGTTGGACTGCGGTTGCTGCTGTTCGGATGCTGGAGCACATCCGAAATCTGCTGAAGGCGCCAGGTGACGTAGGGAGACCGTTTCTTCCATGCCGTTAGGGTGTCTGACATATGTGTATTCAGGGTTACATTCCAGGAGCTCAACCTCTTCGACTAGAGGTGATCCTGGCGAAAGCAACCACTGCGGCAAGGACGTACCGACAGCAGATTTTCGATGTGATGAAACATCCGCTCGTGTGGAGTGGCATTAGTGACCGTGCTCAACAAAGAACCAATCGAATGGAGTGCGTTTTGTAAAGCGGTTTCCCAATGACTGTTTTGAAGACCCGATGGTAATGAAAGCGTAATAGCTTTCCACAAAGTTCCATTTAATCTTTCCACCTGACCGTTCCCCCTTGGGTTGTATGGAGTGCTCCGACTGGTGGCTACACCTTTTTCATGAAGAAATCGTTCGATCTCATCCGAAATGAATGATGAGCCACGATTCGAATGCACGACACTTGGCAAGCCAAATGTGGCGAAGAGTGGCACAAGGCATGATATCACCGTATACGAACTGGTATCTGGACAAGCATAGGCCAACGGAAAACGGGAGTATTCGTCTACGATCGTCAGTAGGTATCTGTTTCGAGTCGTCGAAGGCAGTGGTCCCTTGAATCCGATGCTTAAACGTCCAACCGTTTGTGTGGCTTTAATGAGTGTACCACCAGATGACTTGAAGAAACGTGGTTTGAATTCCGCACACACATCACACTGCTTAATGACAAGTCGGATGTCCTCTAGGGAGAATGGGAGATTCTTAGCACGAACGAAATGCAGCAATTAGACCACAAAGGGAAAAAGAAGGTTTGTCACCGTTGAATGAGATTTCCAGGGATTTGTGAAGCTTAAGAAGATCATGTCCTATCAGAATATCTACACAGAGGTCACGTAATACTGAAAACTTAAAAGAGGGATACTTGTTTTTTTTGTGTTTCAGCGTTAAAAAGTAATGTTTAAGAGTAAAGCTTTTATGTTGGATAGATGCCAAAGTTATCTCAGATGACGATGGTAGTACAGACCACTTGTTACGACGGAAATGAAACTTTCTGAGCTACCAGTATCAACAAGAGCTTGAAGTGGGATACCATTGGCTTCCACATCGGTGACTGCTTCCTTTAGACACTCGGGAGCCGCTGGAGTGACGCAAGATAGCGCACTTGAAACAGATAAGGTGTTCCACGGACCAGTAGATCTGCATACCTTTTGAAAATGACCTTTCTTCCCACAGTTTTTGTAGGTCACATATTTAGCGGGGCATTTATATCTCGGGTGACAAGCATATCCACAAAAGAAACATGAAGACCCCACACTAGCAGCAGTCGCCTGCTCATGCGATGACGTTTGAAAACATTGAGACTTTGGCGGGTCGTTCAATACGGTAGCACAGGGGAGTTGAATGTTCGGCAAAAAAGACAACGACTGTGTTTGCACTAGTTCGAGGGACTTTGCATGGTCGTGTGCGGTTTTAAAATCCAGCGACTTATGTTCCAGCAGTCTCCGGCGTATAGTATTGGAATAAAGTCCACTAATAAATGCGTTTCGTGACGCTTCATCGGTATACTGTTCTGCATTGACGGCTGTAAAGCGGCAGCCTGGCAATAAACTGCGAAGCTTCTGCACAAACTGATCAAGGTTCTGAGCTCCGTGCTGTTTACAAATGTTCAAAAGATGCCAGGCAGAAAACTTCATTTTTCGGCTGCACGTAAGTTTCTCGCTGATTCATGGTCTTTTCAGTCTTTGATGAATCGGTAAACACTAGGAGAGACGTAATTGAACAAGGTTTTCAGTTTACCTGGTGAGTGAGAACCAATTGACTAAGAAGTTTGTGAAAGTACAAAACCAATGCTCCCAGGTATCTGCCGAGTCTTGAGTATTGGGGTCGGTATCGAATCGTTCAGGACTCAAGAATCGATCCATTGTTCGAAGAAAACTTTTTGGATGAATAAATTGTTGTTTACGACGAGGGTCGGAGTGCAACGACAATTAGAATGACAATGGAAAAGACTGAGGGCCCGAAAGCTAGACTTTATTCATCCAAGACCTTGACACTGTTGGGGATATCAATATCCCCCAAAAACTCTATTTTTTTGTGTGCTAGCGAACTTCCGGCACCTTCATGGTCAAACTATGAATATATGTATGCATTGTCATTTTTCCCCATGGTCGCCTGTTGATCGCGTGTTGTTGGATCATTAAAGTTTGTGTCTTTTCGTCTTCTTACTATCTGCCGTGCTAGGAGTCTGGATCAAGCAACATAGCTGGGGATAGAGTATTGCCACAATCCGCATATCATATTGTTTGGTCGCTGCGTGACCGAACCGTAACAGACACAGAGCTCAAAACGGAAGAGTGATTTAGAAATAAATGATGAAACGTTTGAAGAACTATACAACAGTGGCAGGGAGCTAGGCGCTGAAAGGTTGCTACAGCTGAACAATTGCACCTTCAGCTTTCTATCAGGTGTAATCAGCTGGTCGCTATGTTGGGCGTTTGTTCTTAACTGACTGAGAAATTAGTTTTCTAGTGGATTCTCATGTCAGTTACTCAAATCTTACTTTAATCGTCTACATATTTCTTATTTGTATTTCAGTTTTTTGGTTCTCACCCAACTAAGGTGGTTCTTTCGTGAATGAAGCGATGAATCCTTCTACCGTAAGTATTTTTTTCTTATTTCCATACGGTAACAGTTACTTCTACCCAACGGGATTAACTCGACAAACCTGGCGATGATAAATTTGACGGGATTGAACACTGGCCTTAATTTGGGCCTATCGCTGCCAGGCGCTAGTATTTTGAATTCGCTTAAAATGGGTTATGATCAAGCTGGACCCGTCTACAATGGACCTGGATCATTACTTACACGTCAGCCCTTCATGCTAATGAAGCTGGAATTGGAACAGCGCGAAGCTATAGAGCGCGCAAAAAAATACGCAATGGAAGAGAGCATAAAGTCAGCATTGGCCAAGCAGACGCGACAACTTCAGCTGCAACAGACGCCAGCTACCAAAAAGGCACAGACATTAAATCTTTTGAGCCGTATCTACGTCGGTTCCATTAGTTACGATTTAAAAGAAGACTCCATCAAAACCGCCTTCCAACCTTTCGGGCCCATACGCACCGTGACCATGAGTTGGGATGCGGCTACCCAAAAGCATAAAGGGTTTGCATTCATTGAATTTGAGTTTCCCGAAGCCGCCCACTTGGCCGTGGAACAGATGAATAACGCCAGCTTAGGTGGCAGACAGCTGAAAGTAGGACGTCCAAGCAATCTCCCACAAGCAGACCCACTAATTAATGAATTGGTCACGGAGTACAAACTGGAAAAGAAAGTTTACGTTGCTGGAGTCCATCCTGATCTCTCCGAAGACGATCTAGCCTTGGTTTTCGAAGCATTTGGGAAGATAACATCCTGCAAGTAAGCTTACTGTCTTCTTAACATCATCCTACTTGAAGGTTACACGTGGATCCAACCAAAGCCCAGAAGCATCGTGGCTTTGGCTATATTGAGTATGAGTCTGAACAGGCGGCTAACGATGCTGTCGCCAGCATGAATATGTTTGATTTAGGAGGTCAGTTCCTCCGAGTTGGGAAGGCAATCGCACCGCCCGAAGATCCACCTACACCGACCAACTCCAGTTTGTCATCAGCAGCTGCAGCAGCCGCGGCAGCTGCCTCGGCCACGGCGAAGGTAATGGCACTGGAAGCTGAGAGTGCTAGTAAAGGTCGAGTAAGTTACCTCTCACCACCTCAATTAATTTTTGCGTCGCTTTCTTCTCTACGAAGCGAGACTTGTGCATTTTCCATATTCAAATTTTGGTTGTTTTGATGTGGTCCTTGCATTTTCCATATTCATTCAAATTTTGGTTGTTTTGATGTGGTCCCGAACTTTCACACTCAATGAAAACGGTAACTACGTTCTCTCTCTCTTCCCGCTCTCCATCCCTCTTTAATGCCGTGGCGTTGAAATCGTTCGCCTAGTAGCTTTGGAGTTGATGGGACCATTTGGCCTATTTGCTGGGCAAGGAAGAAAATCCTCCGAACGGCGTATCGGTGGACGCTCTTGTTTTTGCTCCCAGTCCCTACCCACTCTTTATTGTCCCAGCCCCATTCTTCCTTGCTTTCATGCTGATTGTTTCCCTCGTCCATCCCGTCCGTCCCTTCTTTCACTCCCTATAGCAGAAACCGGAATCTAGGGCATCGTACAACGAATAGTCGAACTCACTCGGGTAATTGCGTGCAATTTCGGTATTTAAACTTATACCACTCGTTGTTTAGTTTAGGTTATTCTCAATTCGCTAAGCTATTAAAGCTTTAATCCGAGCACTTGTAGGCTATACCAGGTTTTTTATCTTTCCAGTCACCTGGCTCAAACACTTTCGCAAATTTCCCGATTCAGTCGCCTGCAGGTGGTGACTTGGGTAAGTTTCCGATTAATTGGTAATGCTTCCTTAGGTTCTCTCTCATGGGATCGCATCGAAGCTCAAGAGGCATCCGTTGGCGCCGGTTTCAGTGAAGATGATGACGGTGCTACGTTGGAGCAGCAAGAAAACTTCCACATTCGCGGACGTGATGCACGGAATGTAATAATGCAGAAGCTCATTCGACCTCCTCCTCGTGGGTGAGTTGATTAATAGCGATTTTCAGACCCAATTGCTTTGTGTCTTATTGATGTACCTTCCAATTTGATGTTACGTTGCCTGCAAGCAATCACATCTAATCTTAAGGTCACCCCGATTACGCAACCAACTTTTCTTGCCATGTCCCACTCACTGAAGGATTGCGTGCAACGTAATAGAAATTCGTGCACAAATGGCCACCCAAGTCCTTCAGCGACGCACTTACTATGGGACGTAACTACTACCATCTAGTTCTCCAAATTTCATCATCATCATCACCATCGACAGCATGACATCAGTGTTCAACACCGATGCTTCACTGCCGTACAACCACGACTAATTTGAAAGCCTTATTGTAAAGAAAAGAGTAA